GCAGAACATCGTCATGACCCAGCGCATACCACCCATTTCAGCAATGGCCCGTATAGTTACAACGCAGGAACCGCTTATCAGGTTGTCACCCAAATTCACCTCGCGTAATGATTTGTGGTGGTGCATCGACGCACACAACACCGCCAACCCCGTGCGGTTGTGTACCAATTCTGTTGCGAGACACGTCCAACAGCTCTAGTTGATGTGCTGCAGTCATAACACATGTCAACGAAGAGGCATCAACAATGCCCACACCGCTTAAATGAATGTCACGTATCATATTCCCACAGCGAGAACTTGTGCTCATCACCTCTGCAAGGGTGCGTGTGCCTGCATCGCCCAAATAACAGTCATTGAGATCGAGCTTTACAAGAGGCATACAGGCAAAAGCTGGAAAAAGTGCTTGCGAGCCACTGACGCCAAGAGGTACGGCGTTGAGCTTGTACGTAACCCCTCTTGTAGTTATATCAGAATCAGACAGATCCCTTTTCGCAATATCAACAGCGTCCTGCATCGCGACGGCAGCCTGAAGCGCACAAGGGTTCATTTCTATGGCAAACTCTTTGCATCTCAAGGCATACATGGAGAGAAAAACCTCCAAAAAACAAATACTTTTATTGACGTGGTTGCTTCCATCGATACCTGTTTGTTGCGTGGCACAAACGACAGGCTCCGGCATTTCTTCACTTCTGTGTGCGATCCATGAGAGAAAAATTAAAAATAAAATAAAATATACATGATAACTAGCAGAGCAAACAACGGCAGTAAACATTTCATGACTACTTTTTTTTTTCTTTTTAATCACACAACCATATTTCGTTCCATAGAGAGCACAGTACCGTACAAAAACTGCAGACCCATAGAGATAGGCAATGCATTTAGCAACACCCCAGGCTTCCAACGTCAATTGCTTCGACACAGGAAGATTTATAAACTGAATTTTTAACCGCCACTTAGAAACAGATGCGGTAGACTCACCATTATAAAAAAATATATATTTTTTTATACAAGAACAACAACAACAAAAAAAAAAAAAAAACGTCTTCAGAATCTATGTACCACTTTTCTTTTCTTCTTATTAACAGGTTTCGGCTCAGTCCTTCGTTTGTCTACATGCAGGTGCCTTGAAGCGACGCTGAATAGTACGATAATAAATTATTATTATTATTATTATTATTATTATTATTATTATTATTAGTAGTAGTAGTAGTAGTAGTAGTGTACATACGGGACTCAAGAATGTGAGCCTTACACTTCTATTGTCGTTTCCCTCCAGAAGGAATTCAACAATACAAAAAAAAAAAAAGTAACCAAAATGTGCAACCAAAGATGGTCACATACAACCACCTTCTCCCAGCCATGCTACACTCTACATCAGCGGCGAGGGCGACATTCATACAAGAAGAAGTTAGAAAGTTAATGTCGTCGTCAACAAAAGAAGGAAAAATAAATAAATAAATAAAATTAAATTAAAATTCATGCATTTCCCTCCTCCTTCTTACCCTAATTCACCAAAGTCTTTGTACTTATAACCGGCCTGCGGTCCTCACCTCCGCCTAATCACACATCCTCGAAAGGTAGACACGCAATTCCTCCTCTGTCGCTTCCACCGCCAAGAGGTGCAGGAGCGAGGCAGCATCCAACGAGGCCTGACGCGCCATGGACTTTACGGTACCAACAGGCGATGTTATCGTCTCAGTTTTTAGAAAAAATAATTTCATCCCCGCACCATAATTACAAAACAGTTCCGCCCAACAAATGGCTCGCAGAAGGTTAACAAGAGTTAATTTTGTCCCTTCTTTAAGAGTGGAAGAAATGCGGCTAATGTGTTTCAGAAGGCGAAGCATCGACGGAGATGGACCTAGTGCTCCAAGACGACAATCACGAGCAGTTAGTTTAGGTGGCAGTTTGTGTTGCGTTTTCGTTCCTATAATGAGCCTGGCGAGGGCATTCGCTGCTTCCGCCGCAGGAGGAAATTGATATATTTCACCGTCACCACTAGACTTATTTTTTAGCTTCATGTATGAAGAAAGAAGAAGTTCCAACCACGATTCACTTAAATTAGGAGGATATGATCCATCCGCATCCGTCCATGGCGAAAAACAATAACCCAAAGCCCTGTTTACTGCCTTCAGCCACACCTCATCACGATGGGCAAAAGAAATGTCCCCATCATCCATTATTTCCAGGCCTTCACGCAAAAGCATTCGAAGCTTCTGGCTCCTTTCCTTTATTGTACTGGCACTCGCGACCTCAGGAAGTAAAACTGGTGTGAGGGTAAAACCGTACCACAACAGCAACTCCATGTCCGTATAGGCGCCATATTGCAGAAAAATTTGTTCCCCACTCTCAATAGGAAAAAGGACTTCAAAGATGTAGGCTCCTCTTCGTTCATCGTACTTCATCGTGGCATTGCTATTCAAGGCGTAGTTGAAGTAATCTACCCAAGGCATAAGGCTCCAAACCTCTGAGTAATATGCGAAGCCACGGGTCATCAGAGTGTTGTAAGCCCAAAGAAATTGCTCCAATGTAACCGGCATTGATCTCTCTTCACAGTCAGAATGTGGCATGGTCTGAAAAAATGAGAGCGCTGACTTGCATAATTGAAATTCCGCCTCAGCGTTCGCCTGCTCTCGCAAAACCTTATGACGATGCCGCTCAAACTGCAGGTAAGGGCGGAGATACGCATCAGATGAGGAAACAATTTTCTCAGTATCCTCATAACTTGAATAGCATTCTTCATCAGCCTTTTCGGGACGCAGTTCGAGAAGATTATTGTAACGGGCAGGAAGCGAAAGTATCCATGTCTTCATCCACGCATGATCGCTTTGGAAAGATATTTTATCCCTCCTGCTGCTGCTATCCGCTGACATATCCATGCTGTTTTCAGTATGAGGGGTAGAAAAACGACCGTATTGAGCTGCATTCAAAAGAATATAGCAAATAATAGTGTTTGATGGAGAAAGGCTCTGTGAAAGCTCTTGTTCAACAGCTTCCAAGTCTGTAACAGGAGCACCTTCGTTAGAAGGTCGATTGCTGCAAGAGAGAGCTTGCCTCTGTTTGTATTCGAAAGATGCCAAGTAATGACGGGCCTTGCTAGCCGTGATCATTGAGTGCCGCGGTATCCTTGCGAGAAGTGTACCGGGCTTCAATGACTCTGCTGCCACTACCCCATAGCCACCACCCATGGAAGGAATAGATGCCAACCGCATTACGGGATGAAAGAATGCTCCTTCCTCCGTCAAGAGGCGCTGAAGAATGGTTGCCGTTTGCATGAAAATACACACAGAGACGGCCTAATCACTTTAATTGCATTTTTTTTTTTTTTTTTTTTTTTGGCAGGGGGAGAAAATGGGTGTATACATGAATTATGATACAAGCAATAATTCCCAAAAAAAAAAAAAAAAAAAAAAAAAATGCAGAGTCCCTCTCAACAACGTGAGAAAAATCAACCAAGGTGAGATCCATTACAAAAACCGCGAGTATATCAGCACCAAATTAGTGTATTTCTCTGTCCTGTAGAGACTTCTAGAAAACACACAAAAAAAAATATTAAACTCCCCCTTTTTTTATTTTTATTTTATTTTATTTTTTATTTCTTATGTTTTATTTTATGTATTTTATTTATTTATTTATTTTGCTCTCTTGTGAAAATAAGTTCAGCCCCTTATTAAAAAGATAAAAATACACGCGCTAAAACTAAAAGAAAAGTCATGCTCGAAAGACGGAATTTTTGACCACCAGCAGTGTTCCCCCCGACGCCGCCTCTGATGCCAAAGCAGATGTCAAGTAACGCACATGAAGGCTCCTTTGCTTAAACGCTTCAACACCATCAGGCTTCTCGTCATCCTCCGCACCACCGCCTGTACGTTGGTGCTGGCTCCCTAATTTATGACCAGACAAATACTCATCGCCCTTCACCATCGTTTGATGTCGACTTGCCACTTCACTTTCAGATACTTCAGCCAATTGATGGATCTGTTGTTTCATGAGCTTTCGATTCGCAGTGAGGGAGTTGGAACAGAATGTCAGTGCCCAGTAACGCGACCACAGAGACTCCAATTGTGCCTCATCGTCTTTGCTACGCAAAAGAGTAATGGGCAGCTAATAGTAGCGGTGTGCATGTACTCCGTACTCCCTGATACGCTCAGAAGGCACCCACGCAGATGTCGTGGACCCTTCTCAATGCTTTCCTTGTGTGTGTTGACTTGTTCCCTGTTGCTCTGCCACATAGTTCTCTGGAAATGTACGAAAAGCCTTCATATCCAACTTGCCAGTTGAGATGGTGCGCACAGGGTCAACGACGATAACCAGCCACGGGTCGTGTGCAGTTTGTCCAAGCTGCTGCGTGTTAACATCTGTGCCAGAAAGGAAACAGGTGTAGCCAGGGTGGCTGTGGTACCACCCGATGCAGCCTTCCTGCGTCCCGCCGCGCTGATGGTACTGAAGGAAGTCAAGCATGTACAACTGGGAGGCGTCATTCATGGAACACTCCACCTCGGAGGCATCGACAGGGAGAGCAAAGGCACTCGTGACAATCATTTCATCCTCGCCAAAGTGGCCCAGCATGAGACCCATCACCTCAAACCAATTCTCGCGGCTCGGCTCATTTCGCACGGACGCCGCAGAAGATTCAGCAACGCCACTGCCGTTGGAGCACGTCACGTTGGGGCTTCCACGTTTCGCGTGGATCATCATCTGCAGCGCCGCGAGAACCGAAACCTTCACGCGTTGGAAATAGTGCGGTGACTTCTTCCACGGCTGTGTTTTGTGCAGCTCCTCCATGAGCTCCATTTTGGGGGATAAAAACGCGTCATCCGTGATGACGGAGTTATGCATCTCCCATTGACCACGTGTCACCTCATGGCGATCTCGAGTTTTGCAGCGTCAGGCCGCATCATCATCGTTAACAAACAGCACCTGATTTCAACAGCCGCACCTTCTCTGTGTGTGTTGTCTTTCTATTGATTTGACGAGTCTTCTCTCCTGTCTGCACTAATACATTCCCCTCTTCCCATAACTCCCCCATTATCCGTTGCAGTTACCCAAAACGCAAACATGCATGTATGCATAAATAAATAAAAAGTAAAAAAATAAAAAAGGCGGTTCATTCACGAAGAAACAACAACATTAATAATGAGGAAAACGCCCACCGAAAGATGCCGTAAAGACGATGGTGCCACCGTCATTACGACCCCTTCCCCAGCCGTTGTGCGGTGAAGTTACAATGAGGAAATTATGATGAACGGGTCTCCGCATTAGTTTTTATTCGCCTATCCCTCCCTTTGTATTGGATTTTTTTTCTCTTCCCCTCCTTCCCTCCTTCAAATTAACCGCCGCACTCCAATAATTAGAAAGAAACAAACAGAAAAAAAAAATGGTCCTTCATTTTCGTCTCGTCTCGCTATCAGCAGCGCGCAGTAAATTCACCTGTGCCCTTGTTAGAGCAGTCCGCTGCATTCCATGCATAGTGGCCGCGTAGAATTTAGCGTCAGCGGTGGTGCGGCCCCGTGATGGGTCCCCGCGCTTCTTCTCTGCGCACCGCACCTCCAACGAGTGAACAGGACCCGACGAGGTCAACACAATCGGTGAGCGAAGCACCACCACGGCCGCCTCCTCCTCCTCCTCCTCCTCCCTCTCATCGGATAAATTGGCAACTGCTGGTGTGGCAAAAGAATGAGTGGCGATTGTGAAGCAGCGACCGTTGATTTTGTCCTCGCCCGCCGCGTCGCAGTGCGCGACAAGTGACACAGTAACTGGGGCCGATGTGGTCGCCGCAAGGCGCCGTGTGAACACCAAGCCGGTCAGTGCGGTGACAAAAGAAAGGGACTGCGGCTCGTGGTGGTTCCCTCGCAGACGCATCCGATCACCGCCTCGCACCCTCAGGAGAAACGGCGTCGTGATGTCCGGCATGTACTTTCTTTCTGTTCCCCCCACTACCACCACTGCACCACCACAATGGGGGAAAAAGTGAAGGCGACATGTCATTCAAGGGAAAACAAGGAAATAAAAGGAAAAAGAGACAAATACGAATCAGAAAAAAACAAACCCAAGAACAGCACAACCACACAAAAAAAGTGGAAGCAAATGCTGCCTTCCGTTACCTCAACATATTCCCGTGAGCAACGTCAGCAGCACTTCACCATGTAATTATTACATTCCTTTTAACCCTAGACAAAGTCTCTATATCCCTCTTTTCATAACATCCTTCAAAAGTAGAGAAGTAGAGTGAGAAAAGAAACAAAAAAGCAATAATTTCACTCTCAATGCGCATTAAAATATTTTGTCAACAATATTCTTCCATTAAAGACATATCAACAAAAAAAATCATGTCCGCTTTCAAGCCTATTTTCTTGTTCCTCATTTTTACAGCCAATAATTGTCATAAATGCGACAAAAGCAAAAATGAAAATGCCTCATCTCCAAACACTTTCGTGTCAAACATTCGTACAAAAAAAAGTTTGTCAAAACCACATGAAAAAGATCCTAAAACAAAGTAATAATTAAAAAAATAACCAACCATAATTGGCGTGATTCGCATGAATTCACATCATCACCAACTCATCGGTGAAACAACCTCGAGCATTTGAAAGTCCCAAATATGCAATAATTACACTTCCCTAAAATTTATTAAAACCAATATAGCCCCGTTCTTCACAGTTTCGTACATTTATATTGGTCACAACCCCTTAACCAGTCGCGTGAAGAAAGCTGGAGTATCGCTAAATTGCGACAAACAGTGCCTCATTTCCTCTCCAAATAAGAACAAAGGATCCATTGTGCGCAGCATTCTTCATCAGGTCCATTGGCAGAATAAAAGAGACATGGTCAAAAATATACTCCAAAAAAAAAACAATGGTACCACAAAGAAAAACTCAAGGATCAACATTCATTAACATACTAATCGGATATGGGACTTTTAAAAAGGATTGAAACAATATCTAAATAAAATATTTTCTGTTTTTTTTTTTTTTTTTTTTTTTTTTTTTTTACAAAAAAGTGAATAAAAGCTATAACCCCATCGACACATAACGCCATATAAAGCATATATATCCACATATCTCTTTTTATGTAGGGCAAGGTATGTCCATGAAAAATAAATAAAAAAATGACCTCTCCCAAGTTCAAAAAGAACGTTTATTTAAAGTAGATGCGTTCCATGCAGCCGCATAAGTAGAAATGACACATAGTCGGCCATATAAAAGGCATCAAAAAAAAAAAAAAGTGCTCCGCAAAGGTCCTTATCACTTCCCAACCTTCCCAAACAGTTAACGCGAAAGGTAAAGTTCCCCAACGGGCAATCAAAAAATAAAAGACCAATACTTCTTGTTAGTGGCACTCTCGCCGTCACGCTTTTCAGAGCATGCTAAATGGATATAAATCCCGCAGAACAACATGAATTTCGTCCTTTCGAATGATAAATCTCTGGGTCAATAGCACTTTTTCAGGTGAACAAGCACAACGAATCCGGACAGGTCGACACACAGAGTAATCGAGGGAACGAAAAGAAGTATAAAGCGGAAGCCCTGATAAAAGGCAATCGCGCGACAGAAAGCTTTGCCTTTTTGAGAGCGAAGACGCCCCAGAACGCCAACCCAAGGAGAAGTTTGAGACGACAGGCGCTCGCGCGATCGCCGCCTCCGCCTGAAGGCGTCGCCCCGCCCCTCGCCTCCCCCGCGTTCGGCGGCAAGCGGCAAGCGCATGCTTCTGTTTTGTTCTTTTTTATTCCTATTACGTTTTTGGCGCCCATGCCGGGCCATTAGTGTGTTGTTTGTGTTTTCGTTTTTGCGGGGAAACTTGGGGGCAGTAAAGCGTGCAGGGACTTAAATTTTGGTTTGCGGGCCTTGTTGCGATTTTCGGGGCGCACTTAGGCTGCCAAGACTCGTTTTAGCGGGAGCTTTTGAAAATGTCATAAGCAGCACGGTTCTGACATGGTCATCGCTCCAAAAAGAGACGCCGCCATCCAAGAAGGAGTTTGTTTTTTATTTCCAAGTTTTTATTTTGTCCCATAAAGTAAATCCCTGTCTGTGAAGCTTGTTTCCTTTAAAATTTCTCTTTACTTTCCCTTTTGCTTGTGTTTTTTCTCTCTCGAAGGTTGGTGAAAATGCACATAAAAAACATTTTGATTTCGGGATTTCGTTCCTACCGGGATCAATCGTTTCAAGTGGACCTTTCACCAAAGAATAACGTTATTGTGGGGAAAAATGGCTCCGGCAAATCAAACTTTTTTGCCGCCGTTCAGTTTGTTTTGAGTGAAAAGTACACTACTTTAACGGCTGCTGAAAGAAAGGAACTTTTTCATGCGGGTTCTGGAAGACCGGCCTTGTCCATTTTTGTTGAAATTATTTTTGATAACTCAGATGGCCGTCTTGTCATCCCTGGTCGAGCTGAAGAGAAAGAAGTACGAATACGACGTACTTTGGGATTGAAACAGGACGAATTTCGAGTAAATGATCGTCGGTTTACAGCAACAGAGGTAAGGCAACTGCTGGAAAGTGCAGGATTTTCTTCAAGCAATCCATACTATATTGTGGAGCAGGGTAAGATTGTCAACATGGCCAATATGAGTGATGAGGAAAGATGCCAACTTATCAAAGATGTCGCTGGCACAAGAGTCTATGAGTCTAGACGAAAAGAAAGTGAGGAAATTTTGGAAGAAACCTCAGGCAAATATAGGAAAATAGAGGATTCTATTGACCAGTTACAAAAAAGATTGACAGAACTTGAGGCTGAAACTGCTGAATTAAAGTCTCTTCAAGAAATTGA